AAAAAAAAAAAAAAAAAAAGCGTTATTTAAATATTAAGTATAATATTCTTAAACACATATTTGATTATCTCCTTCAGACAGTAATTTTTATATTTCATTGCAATTTTAAGTCATATTTAAAGAAATGTATAACTTGTAATAAATGTTCTTATCTAAAGTAAGATTTAAAAGTTGCATAATTTAAAATAGGATATGGGCTGGGGAGGAAGCTCAGCAGTCTAAGCGCCTACCTGGCAAGCACAAGGACAGGGTCCCAGTATCACATATTGTGCCAGCCCTGCGCAAGTTGAGTTGGCTACCAAAACCAGGTGGCACATGCCTGTAATCCAGCACTAGGGAGGCTGAGACAAGAGGATCACTATGAGTCTGGGCTGTGTAGTAAGACCCTGTACCAAATAAAAGATTTTTAAGGGCTGGTGAGATGGCTCAGTGGTCTAAAGCACCTACTTAGAACAAGCTAAGCAAAGCGCAGGGACCACAGTTCAATCCCCCAGCACCACATGCCAGCCAGCCCTGCCCCCTGGTGGGCTGAGCTGGCCACACACACAAAATAAATGAAATTAAATAAATAAATAAATAAATAAATAAAAGATCTTAAAATAAAAAAAATAAAAAAAAAAGATTTTTAAGAAATGAAATAAAATAGGATAAAACTTGAAAACCTGCTATGATGAATTGCCAGTGATGGCATACACTTGTAGTATCAGCACTTGGGAAGCTGAGGCAGGAGGATCACCAAGAGTTTGTGGCCAGCCCAAACTACAGAGTGACCAGCACAAACTACAGAGTGAGACCCTGTCTCCAAAAGCCAAAAAATATTTTAAAAAGGTAAAAACTGCTATTTTGTTATGATTGCTAATATTATATTACAGACTTTTTTAAGATTAGAAGCCAAGATAAATTTACAAAGGAGATAAGTACTTCCTATATTACTTAAATAAGTATCTGTTTTATTTCATAGGGATTACAACATCCAATGTAAGCATAATTGGTCAACGCATGAACTATGGGTTTGGAAATGGTGATTTTGAAGACGACACGTCTCATGACACTTCCCCTAGTACGTTTAAAATACAACATAAGGAACACTCAAGACATTATAAGCATACAAAAGGTCAGTACATTTCTTTGCAAATTAATTTTTCAGATTACTAGCTCTTAAGACCCCTCCCCAAGCATATCAGTAAATAAAAATTAACAGACTTTTTAGTTTTGAGGTTCTTCATCTTACCCTTGTGTGCTACTTAAATAAATAAATGTGTAGACTAGAACCCACAAGATTGTGCATTGGTTTTGGGCTTGCCTCGGACAGCAGTGGAGGGAAGGGACTGACCAGAGGTTAACACTGGAGGCCTTGTAGACCTACAGCCGAAGGCCATGTGTAGGCGCACACACACACACACACACACACACACACAAATTCTTTTTCATGCGGAACCGGGGATCACACAAAAATTCTTACAGGGCATTTGCCACTAAATGTGTAGGAGACAGTCATGAAATTCCTCCCTGGTGTTCAGTTAGGTTGTAGCCATGGAGTAAAGCTGCAGCAACGGCATTAATGTCCCTGCGCAGAGAGCGTCTTTGTTATCACCACCCATTGCTAGCACTCGGCATTTTTGTAACTTGGAAGTGACTGCACATCTGGTGACTGTTGTGTTTCTTATGCAGTCCTGTTACACGCTGCATTTAAAAATTTTTTTCTTAGGAAAAAGGTCATTTTAAAGGCTATAAATGCTTGAATAAATAGGGTCATTAGAAGTGCCTGTATTTTTGAAACCTAAGACAATAAGTACACATCTGTCAGTTTGCGCCCGTGCATGCACTGTGGTCATGGTAGGACTGACGTTGTTACCTTATTGTTTCTGATCCCTGAAGTTGTCAGTATGCTGGCGGTCAGATAGGACATGTATATTTTTGGTTTCTGTTTTTGTTTTTGCGGAACCGGGGATTGAACTCAGACCCTTGCGCTTGCCAGGGAAGCTGTTATTCTACTGAGCCATCTCCCCGGCCCTAGGACATGTATATTTTTGGGAAGTAGCTCACATTAAGTGAGAACTTGATTAGAACCTATTGTGTAGGAAGAGCTTCTTGTAAATTTTTTAAACCATCATCAGTGGAGTAAGTTGACATCTCTTCTGTGTGACAGTAAGCTTATTTTTCTAAAAGAAAATGAACCTTAGGGCCAGGGAGATATCTCAGTGGAATAAGCGCTTCCCTGGCAAGCGCAAGGGCCTGAGTTCAATCCCTGGTTCCGCAAAAAAAAAAAAAAAAAAAGAACCTGAAGCTTGTAATCCCAGCTCACAGGAGGCTGAGGCAGGAGCATCAGCAAGTTCAAGGCCAGCCTGAACTCCATAGCAAGACCTGGGGTTTTTTGTTTGTTTGTTTTTAAGGGGCAACTTAAATGTTAACTTACATGCTTCCTCCTGTGAAAAAATAAGGACCAAAATACTTTTTTTTAATTAAAATGACTTGTTTTAATCTTACAGTTTTAAAATTTTTTTTGCACTGAATGCTGGGTGCCTAAGTGCACAGCTGCAGGGCCAGCACTCGGGAGGCCGAGGCAGGACGATCCTGCATGTGCACAACCAGCCTGGAATGCATGGCGAGGCCCTGTCTCAAAACAAAATGAGACAAAGAGTTTTACTTTGTTATAAATAATTGCTCAATGTGGACAATATGGTGACATCCCTTTTTAGACGGCAGAATCATAAACACATTTGCATCTTTTCATCAGAAGTTAGTTCTCCAGAACATTCAGGGGAGCGTCCGGCTCTAGCCAGATAGCACGCCTGGGCCCCGAGGGCAGGCCTGTTCACAGCCGGCTTCCTTCCTTTGCAGGCCTGCTCCTGCCGTGTCCTTGCTGTCTCCCCCACTCACGGAGGCCTCACTTTCATACTCGTCTCTGTGTGCTTCTTCATACCTTCCAAGTCAGGCAGTGTTCATCTTACTGCACTTCATTTCTCATTATTTACTGCCAGGGTTGTTATTGAGCCTTTGTTACTTCCTCCATGTAAAATTAGAGAGGCTTTTTTGTGAGACTTGTCTCTTCTTTTTAATTTCTTTTTAATTCAGGCTACGTGCTCTTTTTACATTTATGTTTCTAAATTATAGCCATCAACACTTAAACTTTTGAGTGGTTCCCCGAAAAAATTCCTACTCTGTGCCATAAATTTTAAGACTCTTAATAATCTTGCTTTATTTTTTTTTTTAGCTTGTTACTGTTTCTCTTTTTATACCATGTGCTATAGGATTTTTTTTTCTCCTCAGTGCTAGAGATTGAACCCAGAGGCTTCATACTGAGATTCATCATCACCTCTTAAACAAACAAACATCTTTTTGTTTTGGTTTGTGAGAAAGGGCTGTGTGGTTCAGGCTGGCCTTCAACTCATGGTAATCCTCCATCAACTTCCCGGGTGCTGAGACTACAGGCATTTTTACAATTTTGAGACAAGGTTTGACTGAGTTGCTCATCTTTATACTCTCAGTATGCTTTGTGTAGAATTGTGTTCCTTTAGCATATATGAAATAAATGAAGTAGCAGTTACCCAATCAAAACTAATTACATAGCCCTGCACATAGTCATTCACAAATGTCATCCTTGGGTAGATTAAAGTAATAATGTGTACAGTGCTGACCAGAATACAAGGACTTCCAAAAGGAATACTGGCACTGTGGGGCCAAATAGACTCACTCTGTGTGAAAACTGGCTTTTTTTAGGGGTCAGCCTTGAGAACGTCATTTTCCCCTCCGCATCCCTTTCCTTTACTGAGTTTCCCTTTCAGTTTTCTACATGTAACACCTTAGCACCCAACTCATAACTTAACAGGGAGATCAGTGATGGGTACATGGGGTATTACCAACCATGATGTAATGTTTTCTCCTTCTTTATTTGAATGAATTAGAAAAAAAGGACATTTGTGTATAAAGAAGCCTTTAACACATTTCTTTTTTACTTAAATCTGAGGCAATGAGCAATACTTTCAACATTTTTTTTACTTTTGAAAATAGTTATAAAATATAAGTACATTAAAAATGATTTTCAACTTGTCATAGAAGTGAAGTTCAACTTGAACATGTATTTCATATTTTTTTTAATGAGCAGAATATATTTATTGAGGGAAAGAAAGCTCCTGTCCAAGAGAGGGACAGGAGGGGGGACCTGAGCGGGAAGTCTCCCCGGGAAGCTGTCTTTTCCAGGGACTTTTATAGTGTAAAACCATGTGGGGCTAAGGTAGAGAGGAAGGTGTCTCGCTTAGGTGGATGTGGGGTGGGACAAAACTATGGTAAAAATGTGTTACCTAAGCAAGTCCCAATCCAGAATTTATGAAAGAAAAGCAAACTCATACCTCTGTCCAATGATCTTGGTGGGACCTCCAAAATGATACAAGGAGAAAAACTGATGGGGGGGGTGACCTCCAAACCACATAGGGAACCTCCAGATGACGTAAGGAAAAACGATCTCCCGACCTGACCTGAACGAGTTCGTGTTCTCTAAAACTGAAGAATGAATTTTATGAACAGAGGTTATGAGCAGAATATATTTATTGAGGGAAAGAAAGCTCCTGTCCAAGACAGGGACAGGAGGGGGGCCCGAGCGGGTAGTCTCCCCCGCTCCCCTGTGTATTTCATATTACAAGATTGGCTTAAACATTTTGTCAGCTCTTGGCAGCATATATCTGTCTATTCTGTGTTTGTGGACTACACCGAGATTTCACCTCCCTTTGCCACAGCACACTTTCTGTGGGACCTGGATGTTTCTGTTATCTGGCATGTGTCATAGGAGTGCACGCTGATTGTGGTTGTTCCAGACGACCTAAGGCAGTATGGGGCTATGGGGCTAGGGATGCAGCTCAGAGGTGCGTGCAGGCCTTGTCTGATGTGTACAAGTCGGGCCAGGGAGATGGCTCGGTATGGCTCGGTAGAATAAGCACTTGCCTGGTGTGTACACGCCCTGGGTTCTGTCCACAGTGCCATGAAATAAGGAAAAAAAGAATACGTGAAAAATGACTGCCTAGATGGGTTTCTGTTAGAAGTCTTTGCCATTTTTTATTCTCTGTCCCCACAAAGCCAGAACAAGTCTGTTGGCCTTAGCAGGTTAACTAAATAACTTATATTCTTCAAAAGTAAAAATTATTCGATTAAATTTGCTGGTTTGCCAAAAGGTTAACTACTATTCTTTCAAAGACTCTGATTTTATGATCTTTTATTTTTCATCTTCTGTCTTGATACTTATCTACTCTGTGCCAAGCACTCCTAATTCTGAGGGAAAAAAATGATAAGAACCAGATAAAGGTCCAATCCCCATGGAGCTTGCATTCTCAGAGAGAAGAATTATTGAGAAACTAAGATAAAAGTTAAACTAGAAGGGCCAGCCAAATAGCTCAGTGGATTAAAGCACCTGCAAGCAGGTGCAGTGGTCAGAGGTTCGATCCCCAGGCCTGCCAGCCAGCCCCACCCTGGGGCGCCCTGAGACGGTAACTGAAACTGGGCGTGGTGGCACGAGCCTGTAATCCCAGCCTCTTGGAGGCTGTAAACAGGCTGATCACTAGGAGTCCGATCTAGTAGTGAGACCGCGAACACCCGACAGACCTAAAATAAAATTAAACTAGAAAAGTACTGGCTGCTGTGAAATTGACTTGAGCTGTCTTTGGGTATCAGATTCTTTCCCTCACAATTCTTTATTTTCAATTATCATATTAAGATTATATCTCGCATGTTCTCCTAACCTCAACCCTATGTGATATGTGTGAACTCTTTAGTACTTAGTGTACAGTATTTTAATTACAAACATTTTTGAGTTAGCATATTTGATTAAATAAATTTTCAGTTTTAAAGGACCATGTTATGATACCCTAAAGTAGTAGGTAATAAGTAATTATTTTAAATCAGTTTCTTTCTTTCTTTAGGATTTACAAGGTCATCATCAAATGTACAGCAGATTTCCAATTTTGACTTCACATCCACAAACACCTTATCAGAAGACTCGGTAGTAGTTGTTGGAAAAGGTAGTTATTTAGCTTTTCCTTGGTGGCTCTGGAGATTGAATGCAGGGCCTCATGCGTGCTAGGCAAGCGCTTGACCACAGAGCTACACTCCCAACCCATCAGAGCTACTTAGCGTTTTAATTGTATGTGTTTTTCACACAAAAGCAATCATGTCAGTAAAGAATAAAGTGTCAAATAGAATTTTGTTTGACTATTAAAAGAACTAGCAGTAATAACACACCTTTACATTTCTTGACAAAACCTGAGTAAATTATGTCGGTAATTGTCAGAAATACATGGCAGCTGTTGTTTGGGATAGCTACAGTAATTTTACCATAGTTTAAATTCCCATGGTAGGCCTTATCAGCTTAAATTAATTTATAATCTTCCCAAGAAAGTCTAGATAAGTCAAGATCTCTCCTCTTGAGCCTGGCAGGGTGGTGCACCCCTGTAATCCAAGCACCTGGCAGGCTGAGGCTGAGGACCAACACAAGTTCAGTGCCAGTCTGGGGTATATAATGCGTTCAAGGCCTGTGTGAGCTACCTATTATGAAGCTGTCTTGAGACAAACAACAAAACCCAAACTACTCTTACCTATTTTAGGACCACTGAGAGATCCTGGAAACATAATTGCAACTACTTTTTAAAATTAGGTTCTTTTTTAACTATAGAATATGATCATATACCTTGAGGTCATATTGTCTTTGTTTTGTTCAAGATAGTGAAATTTCAGAATAACATTCCTAGAAATATTTTCTGACTCTTTTGTTTGATTGTCTCATTAGAGTAACTGAAGTCCCTGTTCAGATTGGCTGCAGCTTACTCAGGCAGATTTATTTTCTGTGCTTGCTCTGTACTCATATGCATGCCTTATATTTGTTCAACTGTGCATATGAATAACCTCATCTCTTACATATTCTACTTTTGTACCCAAATCCATGGTGATTTGCAGTCCCAGGTAAACCCATGCTCTTTAAAATTGTCCTCAACACCCAGTTCTCATCAACCTTCCCACGAACCCTGTGCCCACCCTGTGCAGGTCTCACTTCATGTTATGAACCGCTTCCCTGCATCTTTTTCCTGTCATGTATAAGTATTTGCTTGTATTTTTTATAATTAATGAGCATGTCTTTATTCTATTGTTTCCTGAATACAACAGCCTTGTCTTTAACTTTGTAATCCAACATGCTATCACATAAATACTTAATGACTATTTAACGGTGTATTCAATTGCAGGTGTATTTGGAAATCCAAATTCAGCACCAGCAACTTGCAGCCAACCTGTGGTACCTGCTGTGGAAAATGGGGATACATTTTCAGTTAAACAAAGTATTGAACCGCCATCAGGGATTTATGGAAGAGCTGTCCAACAAAGTGTTCCATCTTATCTTGATGTTGAAAATGACAAAAATGTAAGATTACCTTTTTTTTTTTTTTCTTTTTTTGCAGTACCTGGGATTGAACTCAGGACCTTGCACTTGCCAGGCAAGCACTTATTATACTGAGCTATCTTCCTGGCCCCAAGATGACTTATTAATCATTAGGATAATTTTAAATCTATGATATCTTTTTCTAAAAATAAATAATAATTTAATATTTATTATGATGTTTATGTAACCCTGTGATATTTTCTGTATATCAGTTATGGAATGGTACAAGTATTATGATTATCCCTGAGACAACCTGCCTGGGCCCCCCTTCTGTTCCTCTCGGACAGATGCTTTCTTTCCCCCAATAAGTATATTCTACTCTTGAGCCCAACACAGAAACCGCTGTGCTAGGTCGCCGCCCTTATTCTACTCTTAAAAAAAAAAAAAAAAAAAAAAAAAAAAAAGTATTATAATTAAACTCTGAGGTCCAGTGAGATAACTCAGTGATATAAAGTGCAAGCTTAGGCAAGTGCAGGGACCACAGTTCAATCCCCAGCACCACGTGCTGTACTAGCCCTGCCCCCAGGGCAGGCTGAGCTGGCCACAAAAAAAAAACAAAAATAAAAATCTGGCATAAAAGAAATTTCTGGCCCTTATTCATTTAAAAACAGAGGAGACCTGCCCATTAGCTCAGTTGTTTAGTGCCTGCTTAAGCAAAGCAGTCAGGCTCAGGATTCTGTGGTTCAATCCCTAGATCCTCATGCCTTACCAGACCTGCCCTTAAGGCATCCTGAGCAAGCAAAAAAAAAAAAAAGAAAGAAAAGAATCCTTCTGAACTTAAAAAAAAATAAAAATAAAAGCAGTATTTTCCTTTGCCACATAACAAACGTTTTCTCATTCTAGTATAATATACACAATATATACAATATATGTGATACATAGTATAATAATACACTATGTACAATATATGCATGTTTTTCCGCATGTACGTATGTAGCACTTTTGTAAATACATTCAGGTAGTGACAGACTGTGTCCTTAGGCACAGGTTTTGTTAGATAGTGACACTAATTCTGTTTTATTGGTTTTGGTTTGGTTTGGTTTGGTTTTGGTACTGGGAATTGAACTCACAACCTGTATTTGCCAGGTAGGTGCTGTGCCACTGAGCTGTCTCCCCAGCTATTATTCCATTTTAAGATTCCTAAAATAAACACTTAATAATATAGTTTACTTATAGACATTTAATGTGCATATAGTTTTCTGAGCTGAAGATATTTTAAATATCAAACTCCCTGAATACTTCCAGATATTTCAACTTTTTCATGCAGACTAAAGTTGCCATGTCAAAATCTACATATGATAAGATGAGACAAAAGAGAAAAGAAGAAAAAGAACTTTTTGATGTTAAAGACTGTGAGAAGAAAGAACAGAATCCCTGGGAACGAATGAAGCACATAGGAACGGAGAAAACAATATCAGAAAGTAAGTGAAATTTGACTTTCATGTGTTACTTTGATCTAGTAATATTCCAACACTGGTGAATTCACTGCGGGTAAATATACTAAGAATGCATTGTGTTGTTGTTGTTGTTGTTGTTGTTTTTGGGTTTTTTTGGTGGAGCCGGGGATTGAACTCAGGCCCTTGCACTTGCCAGGGAAGCGCTTATTCCCCTGGGCCATCTCCCCAGCCCCCAAGGATGCATTGTTTTGACCCATGACATTGAAATTTGAAAAACTCAGTAGCTTCAATTATAATAAATTTTAATTCACATAAAAAGGAAAATGATTACATTTCTCATAAACTTACTTTTAGTTATCAAAAAATGAGTGTTCCCCTTTAGAAACCACTGCCATCAGCTTCTTAGAAGTATGAATAGCCAGTAAATGTGTGAAACAGATCTTCTCTGGCCATTAGTGAAATGCAAATGAAAACAACACTAGAAGGGCCTGCCAAATAGCTCAGTGGATAAAAGCGCCTGCAAGCAGGCACAGGGAATGGAGTTTGATCCCCAGGCCTGCCATGCCGGCCCTGCCCCCAGGGCACACTGAAATGGCAGTTGAGTCCAGGCAAGGTGGTGCATGCCTGTAATCCCAGCTCTTGGGAGGCTGTAAACAGATGGATCACTCCAAGTCCGATCTAGTAGTGAGACCCTGAACACCCTGTAGACCCTTCTCTAAAATACAAAAAGGAAAAAAAAAAAAAAACCACTGAAGGTTCTATCCTCAGAAAGAATGGCTGTTATCAAGAAATCAAATAATAACAAATGATAAGTCTGTGAGAGGAAAAAAGGGTGAGAAGAAGAGAGCCCTAAGGAACCATCCTCCAGAATAGTGGCTGCTTAGGAAATTGGAGTTGATTGCTGGTGAAAATGTAAACCAGTACAACTATTGTGAAAATCGTTATGCAGGTTTCTCAGAAAAATTTAAACTAGACATTCCATTTGACCCAGCTATTCCTCTTCTAGGTGTCTTCCTCAAAGAGTTCAAGACATTACAGAGATACATGTATACCCATGTTTACAGCAACACAGCTCATAATAGCTCAGTCTTACAAGTAGCCTATGTGTCCATCAACAAATTCATAAATGAAACATATTTATACACAGTGAAGTACTACTCTTCCATATAGGAGGAGACAGATGTAGGAAAATGGATGTCCCTTGAGATCATGATGTTAAGTAAAATAAATCTGACACACATGTTTAAATATTGTATGGTTTATCTCATACAAAAGCCCCAGATGATAAGTAAATCGCAAAATAAGGATAAATAATAGGAAATAGGAAGATAAATCTTGGGGGCTGGGGAGATAGCTCAGTTGAGTAAGTGCTTTAGTCCCGAGTTTGATCCCTGGTATCACCCAAAAAATAAATAAATAAATCTTTTGCAAAAGGAAAGAGACCAAAGAAATGGAGGGAAGGAAGGAAAAGGATGAAAAGAATAATTATGGTGTAATGTAAACATGTATTGATAAAAATTGAAAAAAAATTTCTTATATATTGGGCAAAAAATTAAAAAGAAAAGACATTGCCACCAGCTCTCCACTGAAAGGGGACCAATCTAAAATAGTCACCATCTTTGGCATTGTCAGATTCAAGTAAGTCACTTATTCTAACTTAAAAAATAATATACAGACTGCTTGCTAAGGTGAAGGGTATCATAGTTACCTTTCTGTTGCTAAGATAATATCTGAGGCCTGCAAACTCACGGAGGAAGCTTCATCTTGGCTCACAGTCTGCAGAACTGTAGCCTGCTGGCTCCAGGGCAGGATGGCTCCCAAGGTAGAGGATCTTACTGATCTAGCTCTGTCATAGAGGAGGCCTGGTAGGGTACATCTGAACCATCAATACAGTGAAATGGGCTTATACTTTAATTGGCACATCATCTTCCTCAGATGTGATATCCATACAAAGACTGGTATTGATTGATGCCTAAGAATCAAGCCAGAGCTACTCCGAGACACGATGGTGTCTGCCTGTAATCCCAGCACTCAGGAGGCTGAGGCAAGAGGATCATTGCAGAGTCAAAAGACCAGTCTGGTCTACAAAGTGAGCTTGAGGCCAGCCTGGACTGCGTAGCGAGACCATCGCTCAAAGATTTTTTTAAAAATCATTTATTTATCCAAAAAGAAATAATACCATTTATTTTTTATATATCTGTTCTTATCAGCATCAAGCATATGATCAATATTTTGAAATAAGGGGGTAGAAGGGAACAAGGAAAAAGGAATTGAGATGTGTTGTGTACGTGTACCAGTTCCTACAGTGATTGTGATCATTATGTACTGCAAGCACAGACTAATAAAAATAAATTTTTAAAAGTGTATTAACATTTAAAAAATATTTTGAGTGCCTCACTTCTCTAAGTACCCACAATCTGCTTTTGGGTGCATCCTGTATCTGCCTTTAATAAATCCTTCTCTTGTCTCTTTTTAAAAAGATGAAAAAATAATATTTTAAGCCAAATGTAGTGAGGCACACCAATAATCCCAGTACTTGGAAGGCTGAGGCAGAGGAATTACCTTGGTTATGTAGTGAGTTCACGGCCAATCTGAATACATGACAAGACCCTGTCTCAAAAGAAAAAAATTCTTTTTGTTTTGTTTTGTGGTACAGGGGGATTGAACTTGGGACCTTGCACTTGCCAGGCAGAGCTATCCCCCCTGGCCCAAAAAAAAATTTTTTTAGTAAGTTATGATCCTAAATCTTAAAACTACTGACACTGCTACTCATTGGCATTGTAATCTTTTTCTTTTTCTTTTTTTTTTGTTTTTTTGTTTTTGAGACAGTCTCACTATGTAGTTCAGGCTGGCCTTAGACTTACTTTGTAGCCCAGAGTGACTCAAACTCAGTGATCCTCATGCCTCAGCCTCTTGAGTGCTGGGATTACAGGAGTGTACCACCTGGTCCAGTGGCATTGGGAACCTTAAACAGATGTCTTAGCTGTGGCAAAATGTAGTTAATTTTTTTTTAGCTGCAAAGTAAAGATAATGAGTGAGACATGGTGGTGCACACCTATAATCCTAGCACTCTAGGTGGCTGAGGCAGGAGGATGGCAGGTTCAAGCCCAGCCTGATTAACTTAGCAAGACCTCGTCTGAAAATAAAGTAAGATCATGAGAGACTTCTTCAGCTTTGTTGAGATAAATGTAGAAACATTTGTAGACCATTCAACACTGTCTGGCACACAGTATTTAACAAATATTAGTTAATGTGGTTAAATTTGAATTTTTTTGGGGGGGGCAGAACTGGGGCTTGAACTCAGACCCTTGAGCTTGCCAGGCAAGTGCTTATTCTACAGAGCCATCTCCCAGGCCCCTAAATTTGGATTTTAAATGACTAGTACAAACATTTAAATATATGATTAATATACAGCAAGTAAAATTTCTTATATCTGGGATGTCATGTAACATTTTCTCTCAAATATATTTAATCTTTTATGACATTCTAGTGCCCAATACTTCCTTCTTAAAAATATCTCTTAACATGAAAAAATAGCCAGTAAGCTTCTACCCTCTTGGGGCAGCCCGTTCTACTCTGACCTTGTCCATCCTGCGGACTGCCCTTTCTGCTCTACCTTGGAAGCGCTCTCTGGACACTCCTTGAGCACCCAAGTGCACGTCTAGGGCAGGGCTTTGCGTCTGGAAAATTCTTAAGCTGTGCTTGTAGAAGAAATGTGCGTGTTACTATAATCTGAGGATCCGTCAGAGGCCATGAATAATTACACCAATAAGGAAAACCCAGGGATTCTATTATAGATGCTTGATTTTTTTAAAAAAATTTTTTAATGTATTTGGTAGAGGGTCTACAGGGTCTTACTGCACAGATCAGAGTCATTGTGATCTTCCTATTTTCAGCCTTCCAAGCACTGAGATTACAGGCGTGCGCCACCATGCCATCTGAATCGCCATCTTAGCGTGCCCTGGGAGCAGGACCGGAATGGCACACTGGGGGTCGAACCCCGGTCCCTGTGCCTACCTAAGCAGGCACTCTAGCCCGATGAGCTATCTGGCCAGCCTGCTTGATTTTTTTTTTAATTGTCAGTTTTATAGTAAAATGAGTACTTATCCATATGCTTTTTCAAAATGAGGTCATAGTCTTTCAGCTCTTAAAAGAAAGCCACTTTATGACTCATGACTGAAAACATATTTGGATAGTTATATAATATGGAATTTATCAATTTCCAGTAAAATAAAAATGTAAATGGTGTATTGCAATGTTTTTGAAGAATAAGCTTATACTGTTAGTTTCTGTAAGAAACATTTCCAGGGATACCATTCAGTGGCGCAGCAGCTGTCTAGCAAATGTGAGGTCCTGAGTTTAAGTTCAGGAACAACAACAGAAATGACAGCATCTGTAGTCAGGATGCCATTTACATCTTCTGTGCCGACTTTCTCCTGCTGTGTCTATCATGCTTCGTTCTAGGTGACGCGCCTCCTGGAGCCGGTCCACAGCCTAAAGAAAGGCTGTCTTCTGTCACCCACAGCCTGGACGTGATGGATTCGTTGGAGCTCCGGCCGTTTTCTAAACCCGAAGTAGCCCTGACAGAAGCTCTGAGGCTTTTAGCTGATGAGGATTGGTAAGTTAGCCAGCCTTCGAATAAAACAAAGCTCCCCAATGATTCCACAGATTTTTTTTATTCAAAAACCTTGAAACATGTTTCCTATGTTAATATTTTAACATTAAATACTTACAACTATTTTATTTCTTAGGCTTTGAGTCTTTGAACTTATTACTGTAGTTGAACTTGATTGATGTAGGTAAATTCTGACACACCTGTGTTATCAGTTATACCTTAAACACCATTAAGACATAATTTAGTTTTATTATGGATTATGTGGACTTTTTGGTATTGGAATATAAATTTTACCATTTCCCAATATTGTACCAAAAAGCAAAATCAACTGTAATTCTATATATAGATGCCATATAGCTTCATTTTGAAATTGTCAGTTGCATAGTAAATAGTCATATAGCCACACTATATGCTCTTTCTCTGTGAAATGTACCATAACAATCCTGAAGTGCTGTGTGTTCTTCATGCACCTTCGGTAGCCACCCAGCTGGTAATGTAAGGGGGACAGAAAAGACAGTGTGTGGCCTACCTGTTTTAACAGATGCATCTGCTGCTGGCCTTGTCCCATTTTCTCCTGTTCCCCTGGTGTCTACAACAGTGCCATCCTCTTCCTCATCCTCCCATTTTGCCTCTGCTCAGTCATACTCACGTACATTGGGACAATTACAGGGCTAGAGGTGTCGCTCGGTGGCAGAGCCCATGGTTAGCATGGGCAGGGTCTGAGGTTTGCTCCCCAGGATGGGGTGAGAGTGAGCTGTAATGTATAGCCCCCATTTTAGAAAACTTCCCTAAACTGTACATCTTTTTCCACCCTTCCCTTTCTTCTCCCCTTTTTTAAACTAGAAGTCTTTAATGCAGCACATGTCCTGATTTTTTTCTTCTGTTGGGCTTCCAGATTTAGGAGTTCTGCGCAGTTCAGTGCTGCTGTTCCCTAATCTGTATACATTCATTCTATAGGTCAGGGACAATTTTTGTCTATAAAGAACCAGAGAAAAAATAGTTGTGGTTGTCAGTACTTAACTCTACTATTTGTAGTGAAAAAGCAGCCTTAGTGTAAACAAATGGATGTGACTGTTCTCCAGTGAATTTTATTTATAAAAATTCTACTCACAAAATCTTCAGACAGGGCCACATTTGCTCCCAAAGGCATAGTTGGCTAACCCTTTTTTAAGACGATTCATCCAGTCCTATGGCTCTAAGTTGTATCCTTTTGGGTCAGCGAGATAGCTCAGTGGACTAAGCGCCTGCTTAGGCAAGTGCAAACACTGAGTTTGATTGCCTGCACCACATGCTGCGCCGGCCCCACCCCCAGGTGGATAGAGCCACCAAGACTGGGCATGGTGGCACACACCTGTAATTGCAAAGCTGGGGAGGCTGTGACAGGAGGATCATTACAAGTCCAAGCTGCGTGAGATCCTGTACCAAATAAATAAAATTTAAATAAGTAAACAAATTCTATCTTGTCTCTGTTCTCATAATATATAATTGAGTCTGTGGTATTTTTGAGCTCTAGACTCAAGGAGTAATCCCAAGTGTCTGCATGACACTTTTTTCTTGGGTTCCAATAGATAGTTTCAATTTAACGTCTTCACAAAAGAATTTAAAATTCACTTTGGGGCTGAGAAGATAACTCGGTGGTCTAAGTACCTGCCTGCAAGCAGAAGGACCCAAGTTTGATCCCCAGTACCACGTGCAGTGCTGGCCCCATGTGGAGCTGCCTTTGAAACTGGCTGGGCATGGTGGCCCATGCTTGTAATCCCAGCACTGAGGAGGCTATGACAGGATCACTGTGAGTTTGAGACCAGCCTGGGCTACAAAGTGAACTTAAGCCCAGCCTGAACTCATAGTGAAACCTGGGGATCGAACCGGTGTCTCTGTGCTTTGCCTAAGCTTGCCTGAGCAGGCTGTTTAGTTCTCTGAGCTATCTTACTGGCTCCTTAAAAGAGCTTTTTAAAAAACTTAAAAAATATATGCAACAAGATTTTCAAGGTGCTGTGCACTGGTCAGCAAAAGAGGACATAAGAGACAGAAAACAAACAAGGCGAGCCCTGTAATTGTCCAGGTGACTTCCTAGAGAGAGTTTGAGGTCACTGCTCAAATCAAGGAAAAACAGACAGATCCTGGTAGAGATGGCATTGGAGCTGGGAAGTTTGGAGGCGAAGGTGGCTAGCATTTGTAAGACAGAGCATCAGAGGAGAGAGCGCCACTGTGGGCTCCAGAGAGGTTTGGAGGATTCTGCTCAGCTGTGCAGCTGAGTACTGGTCAGGGTGGCCTGTGAATAGAGTACCTAAGGCCAGAACAAGTGCAGTGGAAGAATGTATAAAATTACAAGGATTAACCCCTGGAATATGTGCAAGGCCCAGAACATGTCCTGTTCCCATCAGGAGAGTGAAAATTTTCATAATTCACAGGACTTTGGGCAGAATACTATTATTAGTGATAAGATATACCCTGCACTAAAGGTTGTTTTGGTCCCATTTAACAAAGCTTAAAAGCAAGAGAGGATCAAATTGTGTACATGTAACTACATCTCAAAATGAAGATCAAGGTCATGTACAGGAATACTGTGGCTGAGCAGCACTCAGGAGGGTAAAACAGGATCCTGGCAAGTTTGAGACCAGCCAGGGCTACAGAGTAACTTCAAGACCAGCCTGAACTACATAATAAGACTGTCTCGAAAAAAAAAAAAAAAAGAGGCTGGGGATATAGTTCAGTGCACAGTGCCTGCCTGACATGCACAGGATTGTGAATTTGATTCCTGTACCAAACAAAAAGGTCTGTAGGCAAAAGGAAACAGTCTGAATTAATACTAAGAAAGGAAGCAAATGAAAATGGTAACTACAGGGATATAAACATTTTTTCTTATAAAGGTCTTTAAAAGATAACTAGTATTTCATAATCAGCATATTATTATAACATGTAGTGAAATAAAAATGGGGTTTGTACCGTGTATTGAAATAAAAATGTATGACAGTGATACAGAGGCCTAGAGAGGAGAAATGGAAGTATTGTGATAGATAAGTAGGCAGATGGAGCAAAATGATATGTCCCTTCAAGTGATGCACTTCATGGTAACTTAGAAAAGGCTGTATGTTTTATAAGCAACTGTTAAAGTGGCACAACAGTTGTGGTTGGTAAGGCAACAGAGGAGACATGATGTAATTTTGAAAATGCTCAATTTAAAAGTGTCACAAAGGGACTGGTGAGATGGCTCAGTGGTCTAAAGCACCTACTTAGAACAAACTAAGCCAAGCAAAGCACAGGGACCGTGGTTCAATCCCCCAGCTCCACATGCCAGCCAGCCCCGCCCCCTGGTGGGCTGAGCTGGCCACACACACAATAAATAAATAATTTTTTTTAAAAAAAGTGTCACAAAAAGGGAACACAAAGATGAGACAAATAGAAAACAAATGGCAAAATCAAATTTATTCATATAGTTAAGCATATTAAATGTAAATGAACTAAACAGGGGCTGGGGAGATGGCTCAGTAGAACAAGTGCTTCCCTGTCAAGCACAAGGGTCTGAGTTCAATCCCCAGTTCTGCAAAAAAAAAAAAAAAAAGAAAAAGAAACCTTCAAATGAGATTGGGTAAAAAAATTAAGACCCAACTGTATGCTACCTCTAAAAATTTCACTTTAAATATATGGTCACACATAGGTTAACAGTCAAATACAAAAGATACATGCCATGCTGCCAGGTGTGGGGAGGTGCACATGTGCTCTCAGCTGCCTGGAAGGTTGAGGCAAAAGGTCACATTAGTAATGGAGAAAATCCTAGAAGCATTCAGAAAGGAAAGAAGTTTTTGGGTCACCTGGGCAACTTGGTGGATTCATCCTCAAAATTAAACAAGGCATTGGAGTTGTAGCTTAACAGTAGAGCACTTGCTTAGCATGCCTAAGGCCCCGGGTTCAGTTCCTGAGACTGTAAACAGAACAACAAAAGATATATATAGTCACTAACATGAAAGATATTTTGTATGGCTGTATTAATATGAAAGTATATTTTGAAGAATGTGAGCAATTACATTTTATTTTCTTTTTTTTTCCCCCATAATTTTATTGAGAAACAAATAGCAATGAGACAGTTTCAAACCAAATTGGAAGGACAGTTTCAATAATTAACACATTGCATACATTCTTTCTAGTGGTTAACTGCTGTACAAGATGCAGACATAATATCCTATTTACAAACACTATTAGAACAAATCCCTCTATTCATTAAGAGAATGTAACTATGTATCTATTCTAACCATTTTGAATACACAGGTACAAAATGGACATTCATCCATATCCCATTTTTTTGTTTAGTTCCGTTATTTGAATATTATAGGTGTGTTAACTCAGCAAAATATTCTAAAAGAGTCCAGTAGTCCATAATAGTATTGGGTCTTCCGCTTCACTGGCAATGTCAGAAATTGTTGACCTGAGTCCCCTACAGCTCAAAAAACAGCATGGCTTTACTTCTAATACTTCATTTTTATACTTTTCTGCTGGATGGTTAAGACCCAGATAAAGCAAGACCTATGCAACAAGAGTTGTAGCTTTTGGGTCTGATAAGGTCAGTGAAATCCCCTCAGGATTTATCCTGAGACCCTGTACCTCAGATTGTAGATCCTTTGTCAGTGTGAGCCATGTGGATGAGTCACAGCCATTGCTTGGCCAATGTGCTCTCTGTGAAAGCCTGAGAGAATGTTTTCTCTCCATGTGACTCTCCTTAGGCACATTCTACATCATCGATCACTTTTCTCTTTGGCCCCATAATCTCCTTGATCAGAAAATTTGGGACACTACTGAGTTATGTGACAAGTTCTCATATGTCATGAGTACAAGTTCTCATATGTCCTGAGTCTTAATTGACCTTGGAAGGCTAGGGCCAAAATGTTGGCTTTCTTTGTGGCCCTCCTTTTTCTCTAATTTTGGTCTGAAAACTTAGGTTGTTAACCCTCCAGAAGAGAAGCTTATTGTTAGTACCATACACCTAGGCTTAACCTCACTGTCTGAATATCAAACATCTTAGGCATAACAGAGCAGGTATTTTTCATCAAGTATTGATATGTTGAACTTTAAGTCCCTACAGAATATGATGAAAAAACATTTAAAAATTAGAATATATTTTTTAAATAGACATAACTTTTTTTTTTGAGACAGGGTCTCACTGTATATTCCAAGCTGGTTTTGAACTCATTACATAGTTCAAGCTGGCCTCAGACTTGTGGCCTTTCTCCTGTTTTGGCCTCCTGATACTGGGAAGCTGCAGACTCTGGCTTCACACAACACATTTAGTATCTCACCGCTTCTGGAGTCAGTAGATTCAGTTACTAGTTAACTCCTGCTCAGGCTCTCACCAGGCAGAGATCCAGGTTGGGGGTGGCGGGTTCGAGGAAGGTGTTGCAGTCTCACCTCCCAGTCCTCTTGCAAGTGTGTTGTTGGAGAATTTAGTTCCTGACTGTGAGACCAAGGTCTTCGTTTTCCTGCCTGCTGCCTGCTAAAGACCTTGTTAGCCTTTAGTGACGAACATTATGCCACATACCCAAACATACTTTCTTGCTACATGATGGTTTACTTCTTAAAGCCCAAGAGAATATTTGCCACTTCTTATGGCATTGAAGAGATCACCTGACGAAGCGAAGTCTACCCAGAATGATTTTCCCTTTTGATTAACACAAAGTCAGCAGATTAAAGACCTTGTTTACATCTTCAAGTCCCTTTTCCCTCAGCCTGATCATAGGAAGTGATCATTGTATTCCCGCTTACAGGGAAGCAGTATTGCGCAGCGTATGTGCATTGTGGGACAGGAAGTGTAGGTGCTGTGCACAATTCTAAGTGTCTACCACACCGAGATTAAGGAGGGTGTTTTAGTTACTTGTTGCTGAGACAAAATGCTTGACACTTAGAAGAGGAAAAGTTTATTTGGCTTTCAGTTCGTAGAGGTTTCAGTCCCTAGCTGGCTGGCTCCAAGTCACGGTGTGATGACAGGGCCATCGCTGAGGAGAAACAGTTCGAGGCAGGCAAAAGACAGCAAAAGCAAGGGACCAGCAGCAAGCAAACAGCAGCTGCTTTCTGCGGCTTGTATTGTATCCAGGCTGCCGCCCGTAGGATGGATGGCGCTCACACCCTGGACCTGGCACCTGTAATCCTAGCATCGCACCGTGAATCAATCACATGTTTTGGTCCAGCCACCTTGAAAAGGCCCACCTGTGACTGCGTGAGGCTTTGGGGGGACATCTAAACGTAAGCTGCAATAGTGGCTTATTTATAATGCTAGTAGCGTTAATTCATCCAAGAGAACAAAGCAACTCTTAACATCTATGTACTATATAAAAGAACTTTATTTTTTTTTAAAAAAAGCAAGGGGCCTGGGGAGATAGCACAGTAGAATAAGCACTTGGCCTGGCAAGCACAGGGTCCTGAGTTCAATCCCCGGTACTGCAAAAAAAAAAAAAAGCAAGGAGAAACAAATCAGTTGTTTGGAGCTTGAATTACTTTTCATTAAATAATAGAACTATATTGCTGGTCACAGTAACTTAATTGACATTTATAGAACACTTAAAAGAGCAAAGTGTATGTTCAAGACCACAAGGAGCATGTCATAGTTTAGATGTAAAATGTTCCCCAGAACCTCATGTGCTCAGAAGTGGGACTTCAGAACGGCGATGGATCATGGGAGTACTGTGCTCAGAAGTATATTCCACTTAGCTTGTCCTTGGATCTGAAGAGTTTGTAATCAAATTTGAAAAATGTTCAGTCATTGTGTTTTCTTAGTTTCTTTTTTTCTGTCTCCTTCCTTCTTGGCTTTGCTTTCTGTTATTTTTTGAGTATTTGTATAGAAGTGGGTTGTTTCTGTATCTAAACTGACAGTAAAATGTTTTATACTTATCTCAAAAATGAAAATTTTGAGGCAGGGTGCTACGAAATGCCCTTGCCACCTTGTAGTGCGTAAGTTGCTTCTGCCACTTGGGAAATTTGCTCAGCACATGTAAGTACTTTTGTAAAAATTACTATAAAGCAATATTGCCAAGCAAGAGAACTCTTCTTAGCTCCTATTTTGCAAACCTACAAGGTGAAAACTATCATTGGAAATCCTAAATGCTAGCTGAGGCCCACCCTCTCGTAGGTATCTGCCTGCTCCTCATCTGGCTCTTAGGTTAATAGTAAGAAGCAAATGCAAGTGACAGAAGGAGCAGTGGTGGCTTACTGTCCTTGGGTCATACCTTCACCAACTTTTCTTCTTCCAGTTGTTTCACTCTTTTCTCAGATTTTATTTATCATTCCTTTTTGTCCACCTAATGTGTGGGGAAAATGTGGCATTTATACTAAGAAATGCTCCTTCCTAATACAAAAAAAAGATGAACTTAATTTAGCTCTCAGTAGTGGTTTTGGACCTTAATGTATTTACATGTGTTTCATTTGAGATGCCTAAATAAAAACAAAAAATAGAAAATGTATCTTTGTTGGTCATATTCAACAGGCAAAATAAGAGGACATTTGAGATCCTGTTTCTGTTGAACTATATTTAATAAGTGATTTGTCATTTCTTTTCCCACAGGGAGAAGAAAATTGAGGGACTGAATTTTATTAGATGCTTAGCTGCTTTTCACTCTGAGATACTGAACACTAAGTTGCATGAAGCAAATTTTGCAGTGGTTCAAGAGGTAATTTAAGGATTGTTTAAATATAAAGAACAAGTATCTACTCTGTTGACCTTTAAAACTTTTTAACATCTCTATCTTGTGAGTCAGCTTGTGTGGAAAGTGGCCCTTGTCTCAAATTGCTACATTAAAAAAAATTTTAGATGTTGATTTTGTAGGATGTAGGATAGTACATAAGAAAATAGATTAATGTTCATACTCTTTTAAAAGTTGTTTTTTGCTGACTGTCAGCAAAATGTTTTTAAATTTTTTTAGGTGAAAAATTTACGCTCTGGCGTTTCTCGTGCTGCTGTGGTCTGCCTAAGTGATCTTTTCACTTACCTGAAAAAGAGCATGGACCAAGAACTGGATGCCACAGTCAAAGTGCTGTTGCACAAGGCTGGAGAATCAAATACGTTCATAAGAGAGGACGTCGACAAGGCGCTGAGCGCCATGGCTAACAATGTCACTCCTGCACGCGCAGCCAGTGCTCTCATCAATGGAGGCCAGAGGTGAGGTTCAGAATAATTTTTATTTATTTGTTTGTTTATTTCTGAGGCAGGGTCTCACTATATAGCCCACACTGGCCTTGAACTCCTGACAATTCTCCTGCCTCGGCCTCCATAGTACTGAGGTTACAGGTGTGCGCCACTAAGTTCAGACAATAATTTTGAGATGTCCTTAAACTAAAAATTGTCTGATCCTGGATATGGTGTGGGGAGCAAATTTCAGTGAAAAAAACTTTAATTCTTTTATGATAAGGATCATATTACATGCTAAGCATAAAAAGAACCATAATATTGTTATTCTAATACTACTTACATTCATAAATCTGGAACTGAACTGTTCTTTTTTTTTTTTTTTTTTTTTCTGACCCGCTGGTTCGGGACAAACTATGTTGTCTATTTTATTTTTATTTTTTTTTCTTTTCAAAGTTTTATTGATAAACATATAGCAATGAGACGGTTTCAAATCAAATAGAAAGTACAGTTTCAACAAATAATACACTGCATATATTCTTCTTAGTGGTTAATTGCTGTGAACTGTTCTTGATTATGAGTTTTATTTTTCACTTCTTGAGAAGTGATGACAGTTTTCCAAAGATCTAATTGGTCGTGTCTTCTTACAGCCACTTACACATTGCAGTCAGAAGATGTACAGCCCAGCACCTGGCAAATGTAGTGGAATTCATGGAACCAGATCGTATTTTGACTGGAACAAAAGACATGGCTGAACGTTTACTACCAGCTGCTGCTAAGTTCGCTCAAGATAGCTCACAAGAAACCAGGTAAGTAGCTGCTGATCGTGTCTGCTAAGCCAGTTCATGTAGGTCTTAGCAGCAGGAAACAGAGGTGAAAAACCAAAGACTGTGTTTTAAAATGGGGAGGTAGTAGTAGCCAGGGGTTGGTGCTGGGGGACAAGCCTGTTCACCAGTGTGCAAGTGATCTTAGGGAGCACGCAGTGAGTTCTCCAGATGTGCAGATGGCACCGCGTGCTGCTTCTGAGAAGTGAGACGCCAAGTCAGGGGTGAACTTCACAAAAACAGTGCAAGACTGTGTGATTGAGCAAAAAATGACAGAACTTCAGTGTGGGCAAGTGGCAGGTAATCCACTTAGAGGAAAATGGTATTTTTCCAAGCAATTAGATAACAATCAAGGAACTAGGTACAGGTGAAAATACAGAAATAATGCGTAACAACGTTAGCCTCTGAGAAATGAAGCATTTGCCCATAGAAAACTCCATGAGTTTCTGATGTTTGTTCTTAGGGTCTCAAGGTTGTCAGAAGTCAGGTTTAAATTGCTTGGCTACAGCACTGTTTGCCTTTAAGCAAGACATATACTCTTTGATATACCTTGTTTTCTTATCTATAAAATTAGGAAGCTTAGGCCAGGTGACCAGTAATATGTTATGCAAAATCTAAACTATTATAGCAGGAATATGCAAAGATAATTTTAAAAGAAGAAAAAGGATCCTGAGTTCATAAATATTAAAGAAGGGTGAAATATTCAGTGTTTTCAGACAGATGTCTGTTACTTTAGGTAATTAGAGTTAATCTTATGGGACTCAATTCTACTGAAAGCTAATGCAGAAAGTAAGTGTGTTGGTTTTCTACTGTTGTGCAACAATTACCACAGTACTAGCAGCAGTGGCAGCATAAATATTTACCTTACAGTTTCTTTTTTTCTATTTATTTATTTATTGGATACAGGGTCTCACTGTGCAGTTCAGACTTGTAGTAATGCTCCTGTTTCAGCCTCCCCAGCACTGACTGTAGGCCTGCGCCACCAAGGCATGCAGTACCAGGGGGATTGAGCCCAGGTCCTTGCGCTGGCCAGCAAGCACTGAGGCGGCTGAGCTATCCCCCCAGCCCTACCTTACAGTTCTTAAGGTCAGAATTCTGGTGTGGCTCAGTGAGGTTCCCCACATAGGAACCTCCAAGGTGCAAATCAAAGTGTGACTGCAGTGCTGGGCTCTCAGAGGCTCTAGGAAAGAATTTGCGTGGAGATTTATTCAGATTATTGGAGTTTCTCTCATGCCTAGAATCCCTCTGACTTCTACAGCCAGCTCCACAAGCCTCCCTGTAGAGGCTTGTTTGAATTAGATTAGGCTCATCCAGAGCATCTCTTTATCTTAATATGACGTGACCCCATGAGTAATACTTTATCTTCTCACAATTCTAGGGATTTGAGTATAACTTTTTTTTTTTTTTGAGACAAAGTCTCACTCTGTAGTCCAGGCTAGGCTTGAACTCATGTAGCCCAGTCTGGCCTCAAACTTCAGACAATCCTCTCTCCTCAATGTTCCAAGTGCTACAATGTCAGGTGTGCACTACCATAACAGTTTTAATAAAGCATTTTAAGAAATTCTGTATACTACATTAATGTTAAAAAAAATCAGGAAGGGTCAGATCATAGACTATAGTAGTTAGCAACAATAAGAGAAAGTCATAATATTTGTTTTGTATACCTCTAGTTTTTGTTTCTGGTGCTGGTGCTGATGCTGGTGATGCTGGTGATAGTGGTGGTGCTGGTGCTGGTGGTGCTGGTGCTGGTGGTGCTAGTGCTGGTGGTAGTGGTGGTGCTGGTGCTGGTGCTGGTGATGGTGGTGCTGGTGGTGGGCTGAAGCCAGAATCTCTCACAACCAGGCAACACTATACCATTGAGCTGCGTCCCCAGCCCATGCAAAGCCTATCTGTACTGGCATAGTAGTTCTTCTCATCCGTTTTGGCTTTTTATGATTGAAGTTTTAAATTATGAGATAGTTACATTTAATTTTTGAGTTTTACTATTTTTCACATTTTGTGCCCCTGTTGTTCACATGCTTGTTTACATTGTTAGACCCTGTGGAATAGACTAAAACTTAAGCTTCTATT